TCTTTTTTTTTTTTTTTTTTTTTTTTGGAAAGTGGCTTTTCATCCTCAGCATTTTAATCGTGCGCCACGCTGTCTGTTTTTATTTTTTTTGCACACGCCACAGATAAATTCTTATCATGTGGTTATTTTAAAAGTAGAAAAATGACAATAAATAAAAATAACTGCACTAAAAGAGAACCCGACGCTTATCGAAGCAAGCACTCAATTTCCCACCAAATCGGAAAGGCATCAGAACCGTGCGCAAAGGTCACGCCACATCCTTCTGCGCGCTTCAAACTTTTAAGAGTTTACGGAGCCTCGTTTAACCATCAAGCAAGTTCCTCGCATCGCACTCTGTTGCTTGCGTCAAAACCGCACAGATGCGTTTCCGAGTCCCAAGCAGAGGTCCATAGACATACCTTAATCACTGTAGCTGTCAGCTTTAAGGAGCTTTACGTGTTTTCCATACCATATGGTGTTAATTTAGCTCACTTAGACATGTAACCATTATACAAGTGGGCTTCTTTAAATTCAAGAGGCATAACAATTTTTTTTCCTCTGTAATTTCAACATTAATTAAAGAAAGCATAATGGAAGCATCTTCAGGGCCTCAAAATGGAGGCATTGGCAAATTGTAAGAGACTGATGGAGGCTTTTTGAGCTGGTAATTAATAAGTGCCCCACAGAAATCCTGGTTGAAGGTGGCATCTTGCATCCTCTCCAGACACAACAGCTTGACAATTAGAGGTAAACAAAAGCTGGGGCTGAGAGAGAGCTTTCCCCCCTCCCAGCCTCCTGGCACCCCCTCTCCTCCTCTCAGCACTAAGACAAACACCAAAAACATGCTGTTTTCCCTCCTTCAGCCACAGCGCCGGGCTCCGTGTTTACCCTCCACCCGCATCTGTGAGAACCGCAGCCACCAACACCATCCGGCTCAGCCAGAACCTACGCCAAACACCTCGGCGGTTAGCTAGAAAAGAGGACGAGAGAGCGTGTCAGATTAATAAATCGAAACACACGGTGCTCGGAGACAAAAGACACATGCAAGCTGTTTGCTGATGCTCTCATATCTCATCTCATGTCTCGTTTTCTCTCTCCCTGTGTTCTTCTCCCCAAGTCGGTGTTGTGACAAAAAAAGCTGCGGAAACAGGAACGAAACGCCCTCAGACCCCATGATCATCGATTGTGACAAAAAAAGCTGCGGAAACAGGAACGAAACGCCCTCAGACCCCGTGATCATCGACAGGTAAGACTATCTATCTGCTTCCCGCCTCTGGTCTGTGAGCATAGGGCGCTGTGGCCCAGCATCCTGGCCCGGTTTTGCGCAGTTGGGTTGACGTGGGGTGTCTTTAGGGACCGTGTAATTGCTGGTGAGTTGTCAGGGGAGTGCTTTCCTCGAGACGTGCAAGCAGTTCACTGCATCTAGAGAGCATTTGGCTTTAAATTCACAACTCTTTCATCGTAATTTGTTAGCAACTACTCGGCTTATCTTCTCTGTAAACAGTGCACTGCCTCTCGCTGGCTTTGTGGCACGACTGCGTGCCGGAGCAGAGCAGTAATGTTGCATCTCCAAACATGCATGTTCGAGGTGTCTTTACGTTGCACTCTGAAGTGCTGCCGGTGGGAAATGAGTAATGTTTCTAGGCTGGCTGTTGGCGGTTGCATGTTGATCACATTAGGGAAAGCGTGTTCAAACACACCGGCTCCCGCCGAGTGGGGAATTGACGTTCTTTCTTAAAGCCTGATGGTGACAGATTTCACAGATGTGATTTTTTTTTTTTTTTTTTTCAGCTTATGTTTCTCTTTGTGAGTCTGGCTCAAGGTTACACTTACTCTGCGAGACTTACACTTCTTCCTTTTTGTCCAATTATCCCTGTGGTGGCAGCATGTACGTGGATTACGGTAGGGCAGGTCTCGGACTCGTGGCTGAAACGGTAAATGTGACAGGGAGCGCTGGCTGCTGGAGTCCGGGCCTCTTGGAGATTAGTGAGCTAGAACAAGCCTACCTTGCTCCATAAAGTCAGGAGTCTCTCTGTTTCCATCTGCTGTAAAGAGCCATGAATAACCAGCAAGCGGTGCCAGGAGCAAGAGTCTCTCTCTCTTGTTTTCTCACCATAGCTGTTGCAAAGTTATCTCCCGATCACAAACTTGTCTGTCCACTGAGTGGGAAATTAGATTGGAGGGTGAGATGATGGGTAAAGCCGGGAACGAAATATGCACCACCAGTGGATAGCAATGCTAATGTTTGACTTGCTGAAATAGCTGTTTGCTTAGCGGGGAATGTTTGGTATCTGACAGAGGGAACATCTCTCTTATTAGTAATCAAATAGCAGTGACCAGTTGTCGCTGTCACTCACTGTACATAAAGTGTGTGAAGCATTGGAAAAAAGGACTCATGCCCTGCGTGTCGAAATTATGGCCGTGCTTGCGTGTTTGGAGGTCTGAGCGTTTCCTGCTCTCACGTCATGTGGTCGTAATGTGGAAACCCTGCCGTACCAGACAATAATGTGAGCTAATTGGTTCATGTGAGGAGAGGCTGTTTGATTCAGTTGGATTTTTATTTTCTCTTTTGGAGTATATATATTTTTTCTATATACAGTAGCTTATTTGATTTAAATCATAACCCATGGCTCTGTTATGAAGCCTAGTAAGCTGTCTTGTTTTCTGCTTCAGAAAACTAAATGCTAGTCAGCAACGTACATCTGAATCACATTTGATTAGAGTTTGGTATTAAGATGTTGCTAATTCTGCTCTGCTCTAATGAGCATAAAATACTCAGTTTTCATTTATACTTTTTTGATTTTGAATGAATTTAAAATGTATTTATTGCATTCTGGGATTTTCTTGTCCGTGAATAAGCAATGCTGCCTTACAATTTGGCTAAAATGTGGTGTCTTAGGAGGTAGCATAAATGCTAAATATTTATTCACATTAGCATAATGATGTGATGCCTAAAATGTTACCTATGTAGGCGGCTCACTAGGTTTTGGAACAGAGACCCTGTTTAACCTTTTTGAGGGGAATTTGAATTCCTTACATCTTCTTCTGTAAACACTCTCAAAGAGTGTGAATCAATCCCAGTAACCTTGGTTATCTTTGCATTAAATGATTAGCTTGTTTAAACAGATGTGCTGAAGAGCTCTGACAGTGTGCGAACAGTAATTAGTTACAGGACCGACATTCATGCACTCACTGTAACTCAACTGCAGGAGAAAGAAAAGCTAGTGGGGCGAGAGAGAGAAAAAAAAGAAGCGGAGTCCCGGCGAGGAGGAGGAGGATTTGTTTTGGTTTTCTGAACAGAAGATAAAACACATATCACTTCCTCTTAGCAGATCCTGAAAAGAGTCTCAGGCAGTCAGAGTCGATTCTCCCCGCTGGCCGTGGCTTATACAATGTATTTACCGTTACAAGAAAAAACACAAGAACACTTTACAACAGAGTTTCACTGATATTTACTGCATTGACTCTTCCCATAAATTGCTGGGCTTTGTGTTGTGGCTAAATAGAGGTGGATGGATCGGATGTCTTGGCGCTTTGTGCTTCAATCTGGTGAACAATATGTGTAACACTAGTAAAAGAGGAAAAGGAGAACAGTGCAAAGAAGGTCTGATACTCGGCAAGAAGGAAGGATATTGTGGTAGGTTGAAACGGCGGATAAAAAAGCTCACATTTTGATTGTGAGACGTCTGAAAGACTCGAGAGGATCGTTTTCATAGAGGGGCGATCTGTTCTGTCGGATCACAAAAGCAGATGTGCTTCATTAGCCGACTACATTGTCTGCATATCACATCTGTGAACAGATGATTTTATCCAACGATCAGAGAACAAGGCGGCCGAGAGAGCCCGGAACGCACGGAAACACGAGCGTTCGTGCAGGTGGGGTGTATGATATAAAGCTAATTTGTAATCACAAAACCAATCCTGTGGGGTAATGTCTTGTTAGATCCGTCTTTTTTTCCTTGTCTCTGAGGAAAAAGTGGAACATTACAGTACACCAGGGAGTTTTTATGCATAGCTAAGATACATGCATGCTAAGTCACCATTTATAAACAAACATTTGCATGCACAGGGAGTAGAGCCAAAGTGCAATTGTGTGAGGGTTGACTGCATTACAATCAAAACATTTTACTGGGTTGGACTTGGGATAGATAGATAGATAGACAAAAAAGAGGAAGAGAATGTTCTGTTAAACAGGGCTATGGTGACCAGAAGATCTGGTGATCCATTATCAATAACGTTTTCAGCCACATTCTCCCAGATGGCACATGGGCCAGGCATACTGCTCGTTGGCACGGGCTTGGACAATAACTGGCACCCGCTCGATTCTGGCATTTTCAATGGAGTTTAGGAGACTTATCATTCCAAATGTGTCCTATTTTCCTGTAGTCAAGCCAGACATCTGTTTATACTATTTCTCTTGGACTTTGGTGCAGCTTTAGGTTCTTCACGAGGAGAAGAAAAAAAAAAGAGAAAAAACTTGGTTGTATTTCACAGCTGTTACAAAATTTCAACCTCAACAGATCTTTTAATATTTCACAACCCGATCCTGCTTTGCCATAGATTATTCATTGGTAATTTTGAAAGATAGTTTGAGCCTCAGAAATGAGGGGTTCTATGGCTAGGTGATGCCAAGAGTCGAACTCTTGTAGGTGATGTCTTGAACGCACATATCAAGTGTGAGCCCGAGAACATATCGGTCTGAGAACTAAGAATACCCCTCCGACTCAAGAGCGATCAGGGTTTTCCTAGTCAACCGATCTCCCTTTCACTTCCTGTCAGAAAGGTCAAGACACGCTGACCTCTGACAGCCAACCCCCTCCCTCAACTGAATAATTCATGAGATTGACTTTTTTTTGTCAGAGTACACAGTTGTGCAGCAGGACGGTTTATGTAGCTCATTTAGCTGAGGCTTCTGCACCTGTTCGGACCGCGTGGTATTTGGGTCCCAATGCTGATTTAGCTAAACATTCATTAATTTTTCGTACCAGAGGACCTTTACGGAAGGGATTACTCTTGGTTATTAGCTAGGTCTTCCTGGAGCCAAATGCCGGGTAAAAAATTGTGTTCGTACTCAGCCTGTTGCAGGTTTATTTAATATTTAAAAACCAACACAGATCGTAGTTGTTGTTTTTTTTTTTTTGCTATTTTGTTTGTATCTTCTCTGACCAGGCTACTTAAAAAGACCTCCTCCCTCTCATCCGTGCACAGGCCCGCTCTCGGAGCTGAGCAAATGCCAGCATTTAGAAGGTCAGAGCTTTTGTTGGAAAAGCACTATGTAAATTAGCACCAGCAAAAGGGACATTAAACAAAATTCAATTCATTGTCTCCCTTAATGTCATTTACATTTTTGGCTCGGGCCCGTCCTGTCGAGGAGAATTTTGGAGATGATTTTAATTACATATCAGCGCTGGAACAGAGGGCTGTCTGGAGCGAGACATATTTGGATCACCTGTAAAGAGAGGTTTATTTACCAATGCACTTGAATGGCAGGTTTTCACAGGCGCGTGCATGCCATAATTAAGCCCGTGTTAAGTGTTAATTCATCTGCCTGTTATTTTCCTCCAAAGAAAGGCCTGTTTTACCCACCTTGTGCAGAGTTCTGTGGCTTTAGTCCTTGTTTATTAGCTTTGAAAGCTTCTATGCACTCTTAAACAGACAAAATTCCCATTATTGGATTTAATGAACCAAACTGAGCTGTCTTTTTCAACATATCAATTCTCAGAACAATGTGCAAAAGTTGTACCTTTAGGGGTACAACCACAGTACCCTTAAAGAGTATCTTTATACCTTATTTACAGCTAAAAGGTGCATAGTAGTAGCTTAAGGTTTTGCATTACTACTCTAAGGACCTATACACCTTTGAGAGGTAGATAAGGCACGAAGTGGTCTTTTTAAGGGTACTCCCCCAGTGACAAGCTGTTGTAGCCCTAAAGGTACAATTTTTGCAGATTTCTCTGATAGTATCCAAATAGTTGTCCAATCAAATGCTCTATAAAATGAGAATGCCCCTCCCCTTGATGTCACATGACTATTACTAGTATAGCAAGTAGCAAATCATGCTGTGACGTTAAGGGCTGCTCAAATAAATGTACAATCCCCCTGGTATGTCCCGCCCGAACTTCCTGTTTAATAGGAAATAAAACCACGCAGGATGTGTGAAACAGAGCGGTACGGTAGAGGGCACTTGAACTGCTGCTTTTGCCTCCAGCCACAAGAGTTATATTTTTATTTATTTATATCTTACATTGTCCAGGTGACATTCAACAGATCATGTGTGTGTATGAATGTTTTATTCTAAAAGTCCTTGTATCTCCGATAGAGCCACAGCAGTTTTGGAGGATGCGTATGCACGTATATGTGTGTTTATGTTCACAGAGACACACGTGTGAGAAGAGCGCGCCGGAGCTCCATTAAACCTGATTAATGAGGTTGCAGACATCAAATATATCTCCTGCCAGGTAACAGCCTCACTGCTGCAGGTACACAGGTGTGCACAGTAACTCCTTATTTATGAGACAGTCAGCAAACCCTCTGCTAATATCAAAGAGAGAGAGGGAGA